ACGTGCCTGTAGTTCCAGCTACTTAGAAGACTGAGGTAGAAGGATCACCTGAGCCCAGCAAGTGGAGGCTGTGGTGGCCGGGAATGTGCCACTGCCCTCCAGCCTGGGTGACTCCAACTCAAAAAAAAAATAAATAAATAAATAAGAACATGAAATACGAGCACTCACTAAAGTTATTGAGGGTGGTTTAATTGTATACTAGCATTTTTCTACTTATACGTAAAACGTTAGGCTTTAATCAAGATTTTATTTTTAACCTCAGGTTTGGAATCTGCAAATATTTTGAAGTTTATAGATGTAAAACCTAGAATTCCAAGCCCGTTCTAGTTTTAATGTGTATGTTTAACAGAAGAATAAGAGAGCTGCTTAAAATAGAATTCTGAGGACTTCGTTTTAAAACCTATACTTTTTAGAATCTGTTTTTTATTTTTAAGGGACTGCTGTCTTTTAATTATGATTAGAAGGAGAGGACAAACTCCCTCATTAGAAGTGGGTTGGAAATAATGATTATTTTATTTCTAATGTCTTTTCCTTTTCTTACAGGAGGAGAACTATTTATGCAGTTGGAGAGAGAGGGGATATTTATGGAAGACACAGCCTGGTAAGTGAAATTTTTGTGGTTGCATAGATTCAAGGTAATGATTCATATAATTAAAAGCAAAGCCCCATTCCCACTTTGGGCAGCCAAATGATTCAATAAACTGATCTGGAGTCAGTCAGTCACTCAGAACTTCAAGGGGGAGAAGCAGCTTTGGGACTGGGCAGCTATTGGAGGTCACATCATTCCTTTGCCCTTAGGCCTTGAGTGGAACGCTCTTCACACCAGTTGTTCCTAACAGAACCATTCTCATTGCGGCTTTCTTTCCTTGAATTGGTAAGCTGCCTGCCTTGGCTGTGGGTGAGTGTGGTTTTCTAGTGAAACTTTTATGTGTGGAACATTGGAAAGTATCAGAAATTATCTCTTTTTTTTAGACTTTCCAGTTGCCAAGGTGCAGTTTTAGGGAGGTGATAAGCCTCACATATTGTCTGTGGATTGATTATATAGCCAGGATGGAATCTGTCCTTCTATTTCCAAATCTGTCATCTGTTTCAAATTAAAAATACACACATCCTTTTATGAAGTTAACAGTATTTGGTCACAATAAATCAGTTTATTTTACACGTGAATTGAATAGAAACAACTCTTAAATGTTTCTCTACCTTAATTACCATTGTTTAATTTCAGACCCTTTTCTAATACAGACGCTGCATTTAAGAGCCTTAGGGATGAAGTGCCCTTTTTTGGAGGAGGCTCACTGAGCCGTGTGGAGGCTGTGTTTGTGGTCCTGCTGGCTGTGAAACTGCCTTAGTCCTCTAGGACACAACCTCTCCATCCTGGAGTAATCTGCAGGATTACAGCATTGTTATGCAGCCAGTATTGCAGTGCCTTGTGCTTTGCGAATCCAGACAGGGTTGATTCAGCCCTTTATTCTTTTGAGGTAGATAAATTTGAGTGTCACACAGTTTATAGTTGTGGGCTGGCTGGCAAGAGGGAGGGCAGGTACTGTGGGTATAAGCTGTCTATAAATATGTAGCTGTGTTAAGTAAGGGATGAGTGGGCTTCTAAGGGTCAGGTTATAAGGTGTCTTTTGAAATCAGGACTTGATCTTTGAGAATAAGGAAGTTCCTATTTCCTATGGGATTTTAAAGTTAAGGGTGGGTGGGAAACATTTGCTTTGATCCGAATGACTGTTGGCCTAATTCCTACACAGACAGAGCAAAACAAGACCAGTGGCAGTTGTTCTGTCACAGGTATTCTGGATCTTTGCAGTTTTAGCAATACATCTAATGGTGAAATAAAACAATTTATAGTTTCACTAGAACGAGTGAAACATAAATGCCCCCATGCCTTTTGGCAGCATACTATGCCATCTCTTTTTCCCATACATCCCCCCACCCCACTAATTTGGTCTTTGGTGCATGTCTGTTTCTTTCAAGGAATTTTGCTCCATACATAAACTGCTTTGGGTAAATTACTCCTTTTAATTTTATTAAATCACTTTTGTTTCCAGCTTTTACTTGGCAGAAATCTCCATGGCTTTGGGGCATTTACATCAAAAGGGGATCATCTACAGAGACCTGAAGCCGGAGAATATCATGCTTAATCACCAAGGTGGAGACATACGTAAACAATTCTATAGTAAATAATCATCTTAAAATCCTCCCATGCAGGTCATGGCCATTTTCAATGCCCCATATTCATTTCTATTTTACATATTTCCTCCCTCACAATTTATGGCATCATAATACTTGCTGATGTTTAAGTATTTAGGTACTTATGGTTGATGAAATTAAAAGGGAGTTAAGGATAATTCTCACTCAATTGCCTTTTTTTGTTTAATCCTTACTCTTTTTTAGCTTCTCATTTAAAAAAAAAAATCTTTGTATGTTATAAGCCAGTCTAAACCTTAATTTTGGTTTGTTCCTTAAATTGAAAACTGAATCGTAACTGTATAAATTGAACTGTATAAATGATGAAAATGCGTAAATATTAGAAGCAATACCTTTTGCAATAAGTTTTACTAATACTGGTAAAAAGAAAGAATTGGAGTTGAACCAATGTATTTGATGTAACCTTGGAAGTAAAATGTTTATTAGGCATGCACTTATTCTTGGCGTTTGCAACAACAAACACACACCAGAGAGATTGGTATTCTGTACAGCTGTAGGTGCAGCAAAGTTAGCCTTGCCTACAACTTCATGCTGCTATAGACAGCTCAATTTATGCTAGAGTAATCTGGGCTGGGTAGGGTTTGCAGTTCACTCACACCCCAAAGGAGTAACCAGCTGACCCAGGATATCAAGGGGACTGGTAGCAGTTGCTGATCCTTAGATGTCTACAGAATGATCCATGAGGTAGTTAACTGTTTCAAACTCTTGGACAGAAAATGGTGTATGGACAACTGAGGCTATTATAAATGTTCCAAATTGTGCTTTTTTTTCCTTTCTTTTTTTGAGAGAGAATCGATATACTTAGTCAAGTATATAATGAGAATCAGTGTCTCTTTCTCCCATCACCTTCCCACCCCCCATGCCCAAAACCTGGAACTTGGATTGTGATTCTGAAGACTCATGCACAGGATAGAAATAGGGGAGTGATAGACTATTTCTATGATCCATAAGTTTGAGTGTATCAGGTGGCACTCTGAAAATAAAGGCCATGTTTACTCTTCTGTATCAGAGTATAGTTTATAATTACATTTGAATCAGCAGACTGTTGCCTTTTCTTTTCTCTGAAATGAACCTGAAATACTAAGGTCCTTGGGATTACTGGACCATTGATCATCTAATGACAGTCCAGTAAAGTTAAACTTGAACTAAAATGATCTCTGTACAAGATGGTGAGTTTTTTACTTTCTGGATCAGAGATGATTGCCCTATGCTGTAGAGCAATTTTATTTCTTTCCCCTAACTGTTAATGTTTGACAGAATAAGCTAAATTGCTATAGTGACTTTCTGAGACTATTTTGAGAATTCTCAGCTGGGTGTGGTGGCTCATACCTATAATCCCAGCACTTTGGGAGGCAAAGGCAAGAGGATTGCCTGAGCCCACGGGTTTGAGGCCAGTGTGGGCAAATCCTCATCTCTATGATAAATAAATAAATAAATAAGCTGGGTGTGGTGACGTGCACCTGTAGTTCCAGCTACTTGGAAGGCTGAGGTGGAAGGATCACCTGAGCCTAGCAGGTCGAGACTGCAGTACCATGAGTGTGCTACTGCTCTCCAGCCTGGGCAACAGAGTAAGACTCCAACTCAAAAAAAAAAACCAAAACTGTGTGCTTAAACTCGATTTCATAGAGAGTTTTTCCAGGATTTTCTTTTCAGGATGGTAGAGTATTCTGTGTCTGAAACTGGGACCTTAGACAAGCTGTTTTGTTTTTTTCTCTATTTTCTCTTTAGTGGATAGATTATATCATTGACAAAAGGTGACTCTGCCTAACCTTAAATAGTTAGCATCCCATTTTATGAATGGCACTTTGTTTTTGACATCTGCAAGAAAAGTTTCAGGCAGGAAAATTTAAATGGAAGGACAGATTATTATCTTGTGTGATATGATGAAGCAGTGCACATACTTAGAATTCTCAGAATAATCATGCTGTAATCTTTCATTGTAGGTCATGTGAAACTAACAGACTTTGGACTATGCAAAGAATCTATTCATGATGGAACAGTCACACACACATTTTGTGGAACAATAGAATACATGTGAGCTGCATGTTAAAAGAAATATAATTGGTTTGGGGATAATAACTAACTTTTACTTGGTTTAAGGACTAGTGTCTGTTTTCTGTAGCATCATTGGCTCCATATATTGTTTTTAAAATTGTAATTTAGATGATATGCAAATGGGTGAATAATCAGGCATGTTATTTTTCTCATTATAGGGCCCCTGAAATCTTGATGAGAAGTGGCCACAATCGTGCTGTGGATTGGTGGAGTTTGGGAGCATTAATGTATGACATGCTGACTGGAGCAGTAGGTGCACAGTTAAAAGCTGCATGTATTAAAGTTTGTGCTGAGTAGTGAAATCATCATGGCAAAAACCCTCTCCTGTGCTATTTGAAATGTTACTAATAGAGTTACTTTCAAAGCTCAAAGATTTGTTATTAGCAGTTTAACCCTAATAATACCTTATGATTATATGGGTTCCTATACTTTTAAAAACATTGTCATTTAAATGATCTATGTCATGGCAGGCCTGTGAAATAAATGTTGAATAGATAATGCCCTTATTTTTTTAAATGGACAAATTAAAGCATAAAACCCACATATCTCACTATCACACAGCAGGTTAATGGTGGAAATACGGGCTTACTTCCAGGACATTGCTGCTTCCTCTGTCTTCTTGCTTAAAAACTACAGATCTGCCAGGAGGCTCAGGAAGCTGAGTTAGGAGAATCACTTGAGCTCAGGATTAGAATCTACTCTGGGCAATACAGTGAGACCCTGTCTCTGGGGGAAACAACAACAAAACACTATAGGTCTTTAGTAGTTAGCCCATTTCACAGCATACATTTTCAGACTCCATGCATCACTAATCAGGAAATGGATAAAATTTGTTTCCTATATGCTAATTTTTTTCCATCTCTTCTACTCTAGCCCCCATTCACTGGGGAGAATAGAAAGAAAACAATTGACAAAATCCTCAAATGTAAGCTCAATTTGCCTCCCTACCTCACACAAGAAGCCAGAGATCTGCTTAAAAAGGTAGGGTTCTTAAATGGACACTCACTTTACAAGCCTTAATGACTAGAGTTTAACTAGATAGAATTTCATGTATATTTTGAGTAAAGAATCATACATAAATATTGAACAAAAAATGCCGTAGTTTTTGAAGGGAAGTACAGATTTTTTTTTTCTTTTTATTCTCAAACAATGTTTAGTAGTAATTAATAAGCTATTTTTTCTCAAGGCAAAGTAGACAAACAGATTCTAAAAGGAAAAAAAAATCAGTTTGACTAAGGTTCTTCATAAGTGTTTTTTTTCTCCCTAAAGCTGCTGAAAAGAAATGCTGCTTCTCGTTTGGGAGCTGGCCCTGGGGATGCTGGAGAAGTTCAGGTAGGGATCGGCATCTTTGGCATTTTGAGGGAGGATAACGCTAATTTTATGTATTTGTGAGGGCTGTATGTTGTTGCGTGTAAGGTTAGCTTATTTTGTGACTTGTAACTTCAAAAAGGTGGAAAAGGATATAAGGATAACAGTCATATTGGATTTGACAATTTAATGAATCTATTCCCTTCAACTTTCCTTTTTTCTCTCTCTTTTTTTTTTGAGTTGGCGTCTCACCCTGTTGCCCAGGCTGGAGTGCAGCGGCACACTCAAGGCCACCGCAGTCTCGACCTGCTGGGCTCAGGTGATCCTTCCACCTCAGCTTTACAAGCAGCTGGAACTACAGATGTGTGCTACCACACCTGGCTAATTTTTTTTTTTTTTTAGTTGGAGTCTCACTCGGTCGCCCAGACTGGAGTGCAGCGTCCGCTCCCGGCCACCGCAGCCTCGACCTGCTGGGCTCTGGCGATCCTGCCGCCTCAGCCTG